TAAAAATACAAATTACTGATATACATAATTTAAGATAAATTATAAACTCAATCAATATATAACATTTATATAAATTGTCATAATATATATTAATGGCTACATTTTTTTTCCTTCCCTTTCTCCTTTAATTATATATTTTTTTTGTCTTCGATTTTGATCTTTTTTAGTTTTATTATGAAAATAAAAACAGACTTAAGATTTGTTGGTTTAAATTGACTTTTCTCGTAAGTTGATTTTTGTTATCTTAATGCAATCTAGTCTTTTCCAATTAAAATAATCATTTTTTTCTGGTAATCAAGAACTTGGATGATAACAAAAAAATTTTTAAATACTTTCATCAAGTTTTTTTGCTTAGATAACATTCATTCTATTCTTCCTCTTTTTTTGTTGTCCAGATACTATCTATCACTTAATTATCCTCTAGTCAAATAATTTTTTTTAAAAAAATTGTTCTATTTTTTTTTTGAGCGAGAGAGAAAGAGGATAGAACCACGCTTCATTTGGTCCCATTTCTGTCATTTAAAAATAAAAAATAAAATTAATAGCATACTATGTACGAAACAATAATTTTTATTAGTAATATAATTAACATTTATATATACTTACATTATATTTTGCATTTAATAGTAACTTTGATTTCCATAACATTAGTAGTGTTACGAATGGAGGGCTACAAACGTACTAGGCCAAAGTCCTCCAGACACTTCCTAGGTCAAAATGACCCAGATGTTTTCCCTGATGACCAAAATATATATAATAACAGACCGAATGCCACCTTAATTCCCCAATATTTCCTATATAATTGATGCTTCTGGATCCAGAAGCCGGAATTTCTGCAAAACATAGGGAAAAAAATCGCGTTAAATTTGGGGTGATCCTCGTGAAGGTTTTTATTTTCGCATATACGCATGTCACACTGTATACCGACTTACGGTGTTATTATCCAGACACACCTTCTCACTTATAAAATATAAATATTATTTATTATTTTTTTTTGATATAAAATTTTTCTTTTTTTTTGTTGCTAAATATTTTTTATTTTTTTTAAAATAGTTTGTATTTTATCTTATTCTTATTTTATAATTTTAAATCGTTTATAAAATAAAATAATTTGACCCCCATAAAAAAAATATATTTATATATAACATAATATAATTATAAAATGACTCTAATATGATACCCAATGACATTTAATGCTAATATAATTGACGATTTATTCCAGGGTTGCAAACCCGAATTAGGGTAAAGGAATCTAAAACTCTATTTAGGGGAAATTTTGATTAGAGGAACTTGATCTAAACCAATTTCGAAAAGAGATCTGAGCCCTCTCCAAGTTCATATTACCCAGGTTTGACGGGTTGCCAATAAATCTGTTTGGTCTGTGGTCTCAAAATGTCCAACCAAACAATTTTAAATTTTTGAACCCTAATTTAGGTTCACAGCCCTGATTTATTCATTCTTGAGTTTTCGATATGTCCAACCAAACAATTTTAAATTTTTTAACCCTAATTTAGGTTCACAGCCCTGATTTATTCATTCTTGAGTTTTCGATATGGACAATTAATTCCACTAACAAATGTTGGAAAGCCCTGAGCTACAGCTTGCATTGAAAATTATTTAGCAGAGCTAATGAGGCAGTTGCTTTTGAGGTTTAAAAATATTTGTGTTTATATTAGGAAAAATATGATTTGAATATATAAAAGAGTTAAACGATTATTTGATTATTATGGCATTCATTCAGTGTAGTAACATAAGGGTACACAGATTCTTGGGGTGGAAGTGGGGGAGGTGGGAGGGTTGGTATAGGGAACCAACAAACCAAGAAAAAATGTCGCCTTAAGCCATAGTATAGCTGCCTCGATGTTGATACTTATTTTACCCTACCACTGATTTATACCTAGACAATTGTGAAAAAAAATTAATATAATATTTTGTATCTAATTCTTAAAAAGTGCTATCTGGCGGTTAATAATTTATATAAGCATTAATATAATAAATAGATTATAATAACAAAAGGAATAAATAAAAGAGAACAAAAAAATAATTAAAAGGAAACAAAAAAATAATATAATTAAAGGGCTTAAATATTAAAATAAATTATTAATAAACAATTATTTTTTAAAATTTTTTTAATATAATATTGGTTTTGTTTTTAATATAAAAAGTATATAATTTTAAAATTATCTGATTTATTATATTTTACTTCGTAAATATTTCCACATTCATCTAATACCTCTAAAAAATAGCATCATTTTTTAATGACCTCGCATAATAAATTGAATTTTTGACTATATCAAGTCATTTAGAAATATAATACTTGAAATAAGAATAGCGAAAATTTTAACCTCTTTTTTTAGTTTTTGGAAGCTTAAGTTCATTTTACTTATTCTGAATCTTGACATCTTGGTCATTTTCATATTCATCTACCAAATCAACTACATTTTTTCCTTTTCTTTATTAAAACATGGAGACATGGTTGGTGCTATTAGGTTTCACCAAAGACAGAAAGAAGATTTTTTTTTAAACCGGTAACAACAGCGAGTTCCTCTCATATAACAAAACTAATCTTAAAAAAATCAAAAATATTTCACAGGAACGACGAATCAGAGTTGGGAAATTTATTAAAAAATTTTATTCAAATATAAATTTTGTTAACTTCAATTTGAATTTTAGGAATAGAATCCTAAATTAGACATTATGAGCTTCTTTTACATAAATATAATAAAAATGTATCTTTTGTAAAAATCTTGTAAAAATTTTTACTATATTTATTTACATTTGCAAAAAATTAGATCCATATGCTGTTATAAGAATGTATCTAGATACAGAGACATTTTTGGACCATGTATCTGTATATAACGATGAATCTGTACTAGATCCATTTGTGAGGTGTCGTTTAATAACTCTGCTAAATGCCCCCCAGAATTTTTGAATACCTTTTGCAAGTCAATTTTTATAGTATCATCATCAATTTTTTTCAAACTTTATAAATTTATTATTAACCATTTTCTAAAATACTAATATTTTCGAGTTATTTATTATCTCTATGGTAATAAAAACATTATTAATAATATATTTATTTCAACAGCATATGTTATGTTTTTCAAATATTAATTGCACATTTACAGAGCAATATAAAATAAAAGAAATTTGAGCATAATTGCACAATTAAATGAGACAGAGAATTATTTTAATAACATAATATTTAATAAAATAACGCAGAATTAAAATAAACCAAAATTAAAAGTGAAAAAAATAATTGATAATATAGTGCAATAAGTTTTTCACATAAAATATATTAATCTCTGCCTATTAAATATATTTTCATAATTGAGTAATCTTTATACTGGAGCAGAAGGTCATAATATATTTTTAAAAAATGGTTTTTATAATTTAAAATTATTTATATTAAATAATTTAATCCTTCAAATCTAATTCTATATTGTTAGAAGCATTATTAATATTTTAATTTTCAATATTGTATTAATCGTTTTCCTTAACTTAAGAGGATGAAAAATTCGTCTGGTCCATTATCTCATTTTCACTCTGAGTTAAGGGAGTTTAATTTAAAAGCATATGATGAATATTATATTTTTCTTACAACATGATACCCATTCATTCTTAAAGGGATGTGAGATAGATGGTAGAAAAGCCTACTTATACTTTCCATCATAAATTATGAATGATGAAATCTAGACCCTAGAGGATGTGACCGTTGTTAGTGTTACAGATTCTCTGATAATAAGATCTTAGAATAATAGCTTAATAAAATATATTCGGGGAATTGAAATCAATATATTTTTCTAGTTTATATTTTCATCTTCTTCGAAAAAATTGGAATCATCATTTTCATTTTTCTAGATACTCATTTAAAAATAAAATAGGAATAAATACAATTTTTTCCTTGCTTTTTGTAAAAATCTAATGACCCCTGCTTTACATCTGTACTAAGTACCAAATTCAACTTACGACACACATATTTATTGCGAATAAGTCGGGTAATTTAAAATGAATAATGAATTCTATTATTCTAGTCCAATGGAGATAGATTTTTTAAAATTAAATGCTATATAAGTTGGCCATTTGACTTGGTAATTATCACTAAGGTATGTGCATTTGTAATTTGTGTAACAGGGGGTGTCACTATCCTTCACAATCTCATAGGGCTCAAAAAATTATTTTCAAAATTACCTTTTTTTTTAAATTAACATTAACCAAAATTACCACTAATGTGAAATTTAATCAAGGAAAGCAATAATATCAATATGTAGTAATAAATATTAAGTTACTAAGTTTTAATATGGTTTAATTTTTTATCTTTTTAATATTTAAATTTATTAAGATACGAATAGTTTGAAAAATTTAAGTTGGCTGAGATTGAGATGTTATAGTGTGAATTGTATACTTAATAGATGTAATAGGTTTTTTATAATTTTCAAATGATGTAAGAACCCTCTTGTGTTTTATAAAGAAATAAACATGACGCAATTTATATATTCAAATTTTTATTATATTAGTAACATTTGCCATTTGACTTGGTAATTATCACTAAGGTATGTGCATTTGTAATTTGTGTAAAAGAGATGTCACTATCTTTCACAATCTCATAGGGCTCAAAAAATTATTTTCAAAATTACCTTTTTTTTAGAATTAACATTAACCAAAATTACCACTAATGTGAAGTTTAATCAAGGAAAGCAATAATATCAATATGTAGAAATAAATATTAAGTTACTAAGTTTTAATATGGTTCAATTTTTTATCTTTTTAATATTTATATTCATTAAGATACAAATAGTTTGAAAAATTTAAGTTGGCTGAGATTGAGATGTTATAGTGTGCATTGTATACTTAATAGATGTAATAGGTTTTTTATAATTTTCAAATGATGTAAGAACCCTCCTATGTTTTATAATGGAATAAACATGACGCAATCAATTATATATTCAAATTTTTATTATATTAGTAACATTTAGCACATTCTTAATATTAGGCAAAAGCAGCTGATAGGAAATTTAAAGCATTCAGACATTGAAATGAGAATTGATTTTGGGTTATGCCCTGGATTGTAGATATTTGGACTTTCAAATGTAATTTAAATAACTCCAAAAAATCAAAATTTAAATTTAACTCTAATAATATTAATAATGAAAAATTTATACCAAAAGATTCCAAAACGAATTCCTCTAAGTTCCATCAAAAATTTGGAACATTTAAAACTATATTTAGTTATAGTAATGAAAAACCTAAAAATAAATTGATATCAAATCTCAATAAATTTGGCAGCCATAATTCTAAAAAATTAGATATTGAATTTTTGGAATGTTCTGTTAAGCCTAGTATTAAGTTAGAAGAATTAAAGTCTGTTATTGAAGCAAAGGTAATATAATATATATACATTGTTTAATATATTTAAATGATTGTAGAAATTACATTCCATCAGCATGCCACCATACACACGGTCATTGACCAGTTCAATGATTCATAACATAACAGATGTTATAGAAGAAAAAAATATAGATCCATATTCAATATATGAATTGAAACATAAATCTAATTCTAACAAAATAAATGGTCATGAATTATTAAATAATATTGTTCCTGAATCTAAAATGGGCCTTTTGCCAGCCTATATAATTGATTCCAAAAAATTAACAACCATAAATTATAAGAATATTATAAATTCTAATCAATATATCCCATATTTTAATTCTGATAACAATTATAATTCTAATACCCTTAAATGCAATTATAATTCCAAAAACAAAATGCAAAGAATTCAACATACTTATGACATTCCATTTGATGAACCGGGTACACCAAACAACTTCAAAAAGGATATAAATTATAAAGTATCATCCGAAAATAATTATGACTTACCTTGGGAATCATTGACCTATACCTTAACAACATTATCTTCCAGTTCTGACTACTTACCAAATTTAAACAAAATAAGACATGACAATAAGAACAGCATCAAATCTGATTATAGTGATAAAAATTATCCTTCTTCCATCTACAATTGTTATAGTAACATAAACAATGGGAAGGATAAAAGACCCTCAAACGAGTATAATGCTCCATGGAATAACTTGTATTTACCACTGAACAATGATTATGAGAGAATTAATGAAAATTTTTACCAAAATTCTTATACTCTTCCAAGACCTCGCCTCAACCTCCTAAATACTTCCAAACGTAATTGTCCGCAGCAAACCAAACAACACCAGCACCGACTTTACAATAACACTTCCATAAATTTGACCAATAGAATTAGTCCTACCCCAACAAATGAAAACCCTGAAAAAAAGAACAAAATATGTTCTCCCAAAGATCAATCTCCCAGTGATATTGATTCAGCCTTGGACAATGACGAAAAGGAAGACTCGCAGACTGATGTGCGGCATTCCGTTTCATCCAAGATAAAGCTCTTCGAAAATCGAAGCACCGCTGAGCTCCTTGGCACCGAAAATTTAATGACCCGTTCTTTAATTCTACCCCATCGAGAAACCGCAAAAATTGCGCGGATATTAAGAAAAAGTTAAGATAAAGTGTTCAAACTTCGAATATAATACTCTGCCACCCTGGGAATTACAAAAAAAGGAGGAAAAATAGTGATTAAAAAGGATGATATTTCCTCATTATTTATTTAAAAAAATATATATTAAAAATTTAGCCTTGTTTTTTTTACAGTTGGCATTTTTTTCTAAATTTTTTTAATATTATTTTTTTTGAAAACCAAACATACGTAATTACAATATAAATTATATTTTCAAATCGCAAATTGATACAATAATTAATCGGATATTCGTTTTTTAATATTTACATAACAATATTTCATTTTATATTTGGAATGGAAGAACCAATGACGTATAATACTTACCCTATAGATTGGTAAAAATTCATTTTGAAGACTTCCTTGAATACAAATCAGCTGGTGACACATCATCATGGCTTCTTTTATTAAAAACGTAACAAGGTTTTCGTAAAATTTTAATGTAAATTATTTTTATGGGAAATTAAAATGACGTGTCACCGCTGATATGAATTGTCATAGATATTATTTATTTTCTATTAAATGGAATTATATAATTACTTTATATTTATTTTACTTATACAAAAAATTTTTATAATTATAGTATTTATATATATTTTTTTTTTTGCCTTAGCTAACATTTCCCCCCAAAAAAATACAAATGCATTTTATATCATAATAATTACTTTATCGCTTATTTTATAAAGTTTTATATAATATTTGTGACGACACCTTATTATTGAATATATATATTTAAATAAAATAAAATAGTGATAATATGAGAGATTATTCATCATAAAGAGTAAAGATCAAGTTGGTTTAGACAGTTCCATGGACCAGCCGGCTGGCTGAAGATCGATATTTAAAAAAAAACTAACAGAACAATTGGTCCTGTCTATCCATGATATCATGTTTGTGGTGATGCCAAATTGTTCCATTCGAGCCTATGTTTTACCCAGAAAAATATTGCCTAAGTTTCGGGATTTAATAGATGTTTAAACCTTTCTGCCCTCTATGAGCAAAATCTTCGGGCCTGCGTAATATTTTCCTGGATAAAATAATGAGTTGATCGTTTTAAAATTGGCTCAAATTGAGCGATTTTGCCTCCCATATTACCTTTGTTTATAACTTGATTTATTTTTCCTTCCTTCAATATTAATATCCCAAAAGTACAATGTTTATAAAGTGTTTTTCAGCCGACCGAAAATTGAGATTATTGTCGCTTGATCAATATAGGGTTCTATTCTAACTTTAACCGGAGAAACATGGAAAAGAATCTACATACTTATAGACACCGTCCAAGCTACTTCATTTAAGTGGTGTTTTAATAGTATTCTATGCCCTGATTGGACTTGACTAAAAAGTAGATGCAAAATGCAGGCGAGGGGTAGGGATGCATTAAAGCAAGGTTATAGGGTAGTATTAAGTCAAGTTTTTTTTGGAACGTTCCCTTTAAAAGGCTTCCTGGTTCCACGGACAAAGATATATTGGATTGGCCTCAAATCTCTTAATAATTCGCTATCACGAACTCCTTACTATCGAACAAAATAAAAATTGATCTAACTTTGATTATCATATTTATTTCCTAAAAATCAAATTTTTATTGCATTAATTATACCAAACAATACGAACCGAATATTGGGAATTATACATATTCGAAAATTGAACATAAAAAAATGGATTATTAAAATTTAAAAAATTAAGTAAATAATCTATAAGATGTGAAGTATAAAATGAATAAAAAGTTCCACAAGAAATATGTTGAATAATTAAAAATAATTTCAATTTTAATATTTACTACAATAATTTAAAATGTAATGTTATTTAGTATTCGAATCGAATAGTTTTGCTATTCGTATTCCTAAAATAAACAAAATCGAATAACGAATAATTCTTTTTAAATATGTACTCATAATTATAGAAACTCGATCGAAATTTTTAACGACATTGACCAAATAGTGAAAAATAAACAGGCCGTGTGTAGAACGATAAACAAATATTTGTTGTTTTTATTTGAATAAGCAAGTCAGTTTTATATTATCATTTGCAATTCATAGTGGGATCCGATCCGTCATAATTTAACAGCTGATTGATTTATAATAAATCTATTTTAAAAGATCAATTTATCTTTTATTAAAATCAATATTTATATTTTTTAGATTATTATCATGATAAACAAAAAATTGATCCATAAATAGATTCTTAAAATCGATCAGCTGTTAAATCGTGTCTTCGGATTCCACTATGAATGCCGTGTAGAAATGATACTTTTCCCGGTAAAAGTGCTATAAAGCAGGGGTGTTACCATCATATATAACCACTATAGTCAGGCAATTACTATATAGTTTTGCGGTTATAAAATTGGCTAAACCGAGTTTTTAGTCGAAAACTATCCCTTTGGCTTCGAAATTATTCCTAAAAATATAGCAGCTCAAAAAGACTTTAATGCTAATGGATTTTCTTTGGCACGTGCTTGTAGATTGAGCCGAATTCTTGAGCCGAATTCGCCGGAAGTTAGTCATTATCCAATTATGATAACCACCCATTTTCAAAAAAGCATTTAAAAACTATTCTAAAAACACCCTCGAAAAGTTATTAATATATACCTCACTCCCTATAAAGTAATACCCTGTATTTCGGAAATATTCTTAGTTTTGTATATGGCTTGAATGACCCCGTTTTCAATTATGAAAATGTTTGATAAAATGCACTTTTTTAAAAATAATATATCTATTTATTATAATAAAAGAATTAATTATGAAATCATTATATTATGCAGCCAGGCAGGAAAGTTATAATATTCATAGTTATGTTATACGTAAAAGAAGAATAGTTTTTATTTTAAAAAAGATGTGAAAGGAAAATATTAAATTTTTTTTCACATTTATTGTTCCATTATTATTCATAAATTATGTTATTTTTTTTTAAAAAAAAAATTATAAAAAACTTATTATATAATAATATAAATATAACAATACAATGTTTCTTCGTCTTTCCAGATTTTTGAATTCTAACAAGATAGATGCTATTTTTCCTTCTTCGTTTTATAAAATGTTATTAAATAATATTATATAAGTTTATAATTTATAGGTGTGATAATTATATTTATAATTATTTACGTTTGTGGGTTTATTTTTGTAAAAAAAAATACGCGACGGGATAAAGCGCATCGCCTTCTAATCGTTGTAGATACAACATATATGTTAGGTATTCCTCATTTGACCCTTTACCTATTAGAGGAAAGGCCCCAAGTACATGTAAGCCCAACAGTGTTCCATGACTGTCATTTAAACGTTTATAGGCTGAGATTTAAAAAGTTGGACAAGGGAAAGTCTATACCCAATAACTGTACATATATTATATTACCGTGATAAGGGGGGGGGGCAGGGGAAAGAGCTGATTTAAATTTTAAATATGTAAATTCCTTTGGTTTGGAATTTATTGAACAAATAACTTTTAACCAATGTTGATAGTATGAATAAAATGAAGGTTTTTATCTAGAACATATTTATATATATAATTGATAACTTTTGTTTTTTAGAGATAAAGAAATGGATAATGTGTTCGTCCAGGAAAAGAATATTTAATTATATTAGATATAAAAATATAGTTTAAAAAAAAATAATGATAGAAAAAGGTCATGCTGATATAAAGAAAAGCGTGTAAATCAACGGATCTAAAATTTCCTTTGTTTCTATTGGTTCTCATAGTTCTTAGTTTAATAATAGACACAGGATGCTAATATGACTGACGTGGGACCCGATTCATCTGGGCATTAATATATTTTCATAAACAAAATAATGATAACTAAGTTCGTTATTTTTTTTAAAAATGGGATTCGTGAATAGGGATGTTAGAATATGACTTAAGTAATTAATCTTTATGTAATATATTATAATATAAATAATTTGTATAAAAAAAATGACTCAATTAGGTAAATTTAAGCATAACTTCATAAGTGTTGTTAAATGGCTCGTTTTGAGCCGATTTTTAAAAACGGCTAACTCAAAGTTTTATCCAGAAAAAATATTACGCAAGCCTGAAGATTTTGTTTAGAAGGAGCAATGGTCTAGACATATATTATCGAAATCTCGAGGCTTAGACAATATTTTTCTGGCTAAAATATTGAGTTAGCCGTTGTAAAAAATCGGCTTAAAACGAGCCGTTTAACAACACTAACTTCATGAATATTATACTTTTTTTTAAAATTTATGAATCACTTTTATAAATGCAACAAAATAAAAAAATTTAGAGACAAATAGTATAATTTTGACGGTTAACTAGCCCCGACCGCTCCCCTTGTTTACGTGGACCTGAATATGCGATTAATTAGATTGACAAAAAAACTAATTTTTTTGGCCTAATTTCAATAATTAAGACAAAATCGATATATACTAGTATATAATACATATTTTTTTAAAAAAAATGCAATTTGTAATATCGTATCTCTCTCCAAATACTGCCTAATGAAAATGAAACGAGATATTTTGCCAAATAAATAATATATATATATATTTATATATACCCTAAAAACTCCTGAAAATATTTAGAAATATAATAAATTAGGAATAAATTCAAATTTTACTAAAGATACATCTTAAATTATTTATATAAAAATTTTTAATGACGCAAAAAAAAAATTAAAATTCTTCCCATTTTATTTTGGGCGAATGTAAAAATAAATATAATTAAATAAAATTCCCAAATATAAACTTTTTATAGAAAAATCAATATATTTATGTAACCAGAGAAAGAGTGGAGGAGGAGACGGGGGTTGAAATTATATTTTTAAAAAAAGAATTAGTAAGAAAGGCAAAACATTGACTCGCTCTGCAATGTCAAATTTCGTGAAATCAGATAATATTAAAAAATGAAAATGAGCGTTCCCGTGAGAATTTCGCCTTTATTTTAGGATTTTTGGATAATGTCTTTAGAAGAGGTGATTATTATAAGGTGAAAATAGTATAACCTTGCTCGGGGACAATATTGCTCATCTTATCATAAATAAATAAGAAATGGTGTTTATATTAACCCCGCCCCCATTCTCAAAAAAAAACTTTTGCTCAGATTTATAAAGGTTTACGTATTGTTAAAAAATGCAATGCGTTGCACGACATCAAAATATGGGATATAAGGCTTAGCACCTTTTAAGTATAAATTTATTTTGAATAATTTTTTAAAACATTTATCTCCTATTTATTTAAACATATCCACAAAAAATGTCAATTTTACCCTTTTCTTTAAAAAAAAAAATTAAAATAAGACAAGGATTTAGATTTGTTTGCAAATATACAAGAAAATGTTTCATATTTCTGTCTCAATCCAGTTCTCCATTTCATATATTCATTTAATTTAATTTGAATTCATAATTATCCTTTCTTTCTTTCTTTCATTAAAAATGATGCGCCTTTTTACTTGGGGCTTTCATATTTCATATCTCAATCCAGTTCACTTCATATATTGATTTGATTTAATTTGAAATCATAATTATCGATTTGTCACCTCTTTGCTGCCTTTTTTTGTGTCGCCAGTCTATGAGCCCATTTAAATTCTTTTTTAAAATTTAATTAAGTATATTTTCTAAAAAAAGCCATTGAATATCTTGTTTCAATGTACAATATAATATAAAATTCATCCCAAAACTATGGTTAGCAAATAATAATAATTAGATATTCTTTGTAAAAAGAATCCTAAACGTTTATTATATATTATCATCTTCTAATTAGCATTATCAAATTTTTAACTCATTTTGCCGGAAAAGGGGAAGGGGGGTATGTTTTAGATTTCATATTTTAAAAATCATGTTAAATCATTAAATCAACCTATATTTCGTTTATAATGGTTCTTTGTTTTTTTAAATATTATAAGATTTATAACGACTTAAAATTTCAATTTTAAAAAAGATAGTTCAAAAATAAACAAAACAATTATATAACGAACATTATTTAAAATTAGGCGGGTTACGATATCATTTTCTTTTATAATTAAATACTGATAAAAGTTTTTCCCTTAAAAATTGGAAAATTTATAATCCCATTTTAATCATATGAGTTTAATCGCATGGCACAAATCTTAAAAGATATAGGGATTAAATCCTGACCTAAAAAAACTATATATTCTCGGCTAAATTGGAATTTTATGGTCAGGTTTTTAAAAAAAATATTATCATATTTAAACATTTCGTTATTTAAACGCAAAGGAACTTTGTCTTTATTTTTTTTTTATAATAAAAATCGAAGGCAAAACTTTAAAATATTACAGGGGACCCAGAAAATAAATACAAAAAGTTTTAAAAATAAATTTTTTTATTTAGACTCAAAATTGAGGTTTTTATCATGGATAAAACTTGTCAATTACAACTTAAAGAAAGAAGATTAAAAAATTGACTTACTCAAAATTATAAAACTTTCAAACAGTTTCCCGCCACACTCCAAATCTCCATGCTTATATCCTTCTTAAGACGAATAAAAATCATAGATCGGCAACCGGTTCCTCTAAAAGTTCCAAAAAAGTTTTTTTCTCTAACTGGCCATTTTGGACCTGGCATTGAAGTATTTGTTTTTGTTCAACCTGAAAAATACGGAAAGGCCATATATTTTTAATAGTGTTGTGTGCAGATCTATATAAACAACGTATTTATACCATAAATAAATGGGATAATGTTAGGTATAACATGGTGTGATATTGAACGAACTTAAATTTTATCGAGTATTAGCGAAATATCGAGGCTTAGGCAATATTTTTTTGGCTAAAATATTGAGTTAGCCATTTTTAAAAATCGGCTTAAAACGAGCCGTGTAACAACATTACTAACATTAACAATAAATGCAGTAAATTTTATAAATTAATCATTGTGCTTAAGGCCTTTTAAATTATCGGTTAAGTTATTCATTAGTGTAATAGTATTTATTTTATTTCCTTTTTTTTTGAAATCTCTTTTATATAAAAAAAAATATTTTTAAATATTCAAAAATAATGATAGTAAATATCATTTGATAAATTGAAAATTGAAAAAAAAATTAGGAAGAAATTGTTAAATTTGACAATAAAAGTTATTATAATATAAATATTAAATTTATCAAAAGACTACAACTAAAAACTAAAAAGTTTGCCACAGGGAAAATAAGAACCGGGGGGAAAGGAAATGTGTTGAAAACTCAGAATTTTATGGCACGATCTGAGATAATATTAATTATATGAAGTCAGATCAATCATCGTTTCATATTTAAAATTTATCAATTAAAATAATAATATATATATGCAAGTTAATAGGGGAAAAATAAATAATCCGAAATGACCACATGGTAAATTCTTAGCTACTGATTCAATTTTTCGGGCTAATTTTTAAATGATTTAAATCGTAGAAATATTTAAATTGAATCGTAAAATACACCAAAAGTAAAATATAAGAGTGATTATGAAAGGTGTGGTAAAATTATATTTGAGAGAATAACATATTTTTTTAAAATAATTTATATTTTATTATTTAGTGGATGAAAAAATATTTCAAAAAAAAATCCCAAATATAAAAATGGAAGGTGTTCAATATTGTCATCCTGGGCTTTATTAGGCCTCGGTTGGGCAGATCTCTATAACTCGCGTCTCAAGAGATCAGAAATTTATAAGGCTAAAAATAGGAAAGCGTCATATAACCCGAGATGTATAATAAGAACCTTCTTCAAAAATGTCATCCTGAATTCATGGTTAACGCAAATTGGCGGCATTGTTTACAAAAATATTCGCGCTAATTGTGAATTCAGGGTGAGGTAGATTTATACGATTATCTAAATAAATCGGGTCGTTTGGCTCGACCTACTAATTAATAACATTACCCGGCCAGAGCATTGCAGATCTCTGATAGAGAATATGGAATCAGGTGATTCCTATAATACATAATAACGGGTCTTTTATTGTATTTTTTTTTTAAAATTTGGTTGTCTAGCGAATTGTTATAAGATGGTTAAGACTATACATCGTTACCCTGATTCCTATGTATATGATTGTGACGAACCACTGACTTATCCAGGATTTTTCTGGAGGGAAAGCACCATTGGGTAAATTATTTCTCTCATAAATTTTATTGAAGATCTTTAGGTCCACTTATTGTCGACTATATTAGAATTTTTATAAATAATATTGTATTTTCACCTTTTTTTTCTATAAATTTTGAATTATAATCGTTATTTAAAAAATTTATTGACTTTTTACTAATTTTTTTTTCAAATTCTTCCTTATAATGATATATTGAATACAATATTAGAGGAGAGGGGTGTGGGGTTAGGGGGTGTAGGGGAAGGAGAAGAAATTTTTTATTCGCTTAAAATAATGAATCGAATAATATTTATACGTTTAAGATTCGTTTTACATATGAGTTGACTATTATTAAGAAAGAATGAAAGAGAGAGAAAGAAAGAAAGAAAGAAAGAAAGAAAGAAAGAAAGAAAGAAAGAAAGAAAGAAAGTAAGAAAGAAAGAAAGAAAGAAAGAAAGAAAGAAAGAAAGAAAGAAAGAAAGAAAGAAAGAAAGAAAGAAAGAAAGAAAGAAAGAAAGAAAGAAAGAAAGAAAGAAAGAAAGAAAAAGAAATTAAAACATGGCTCTCCTGAATTTTTTTTATGAAAAAATTGATTACATTATAATACTCATCTGACGATATAAAACTTATTTTAAATATTGATCGCTATAAAAAAATCCCCTTAATCAATAATCAATCACTTACAACAATTTATGTGTATGGATATCAGTGAATATACGTGATTCACGCTTCAACTCCTTCCTTTGCACGAAATCCAATTTCTGGGTTGAAAATGAGTAAATGAATGAAGGAATTATTTCTCGAAGATTTTTTCTAACAATGTTTTTATAGAATTGATTGTTTGACATTTTATATGAAAAATTGATGATAAATAACTTCCTCATATTAGTTTTAGTTTAAAAAATAAAAAATGTAATGATTTTTATTTTTTAAATTGCGCCATTTGCATATGCGAAATTAGCGCTACCCTGACAAACGTAATCCACAGGTTGTCGCTAAAATAAGACCTCAAGAAATGAGCGATGGAAAGAAATTTTCGGAACATTCTGAAAAAGATGGTAGATCCAAGAGGAACGCTATCATAGGCGAACACAAAGAACCGTCTACCTCTCCTACAACTTGCGCGAACCCTAAGGAGATAAATGATCACGAAAATATCAATAAAAAAATAAAACACAATTCTCCGGATCATGGCACGAAGACGGAGGGCGCAATATCACCCTCTGCCGATCATTCGCAACAATCAAGGCACCACGAAAAAAATGATCCAATTGACAATAAACTCAAGAAGGATAATATTACGCACCATCCCGTAACTATTTTGGATTCCAACGCAAGAATCGACAGCGAATTAAAGAGCGGTGCTCCTAGCAAAGATCACAATATCGGAATGCCTAACATCGAATATAGTGTGCTAAAGGGGGAATCGAAGGATGATCCTGATAAGAAGATCAGTACTTTGGAAAGCAAGATAAACTCCTTACTAGAACACCAAAAGCATGTCGACAGAATACTCAAGGCTTTGTATAAGCAAAATGTTTCCATTGATAAGGGTTAATACATATTATTTACTAAATTCCCACAGATAATGTATCTAATCAGCAAATTAATATCTCCTACCATCCGTATAATATTAGATATAATCTATATTACTAGATTGGTTGGCGATTAATTAATTTAAAGTGTTACATACATAGAAGTCAAACGCCATTTTGTGGTTTGCACTCCGAATAATTGTCTTATTTATCATTAATGAATGTATATTAATGTCAATTTTATCAAAGTGCAAACCATAAAATGGCCCTACAGCTGACTCATGGACACTTTTAAATGAATCTAATGAATCGCCAAACTGGTGGTATAAACACACATAATTGGATATAGTATAAATTGCTTAAATATCGCCACCATGGCATCTGAAATTTTATAGGAATAGGTATATTTTTGACACACGTCAGATCTCTAAATTTAGAAAAGTGTTTAGAAATATTTTTTTACTATTTTCTAACTTTAAATTATTTATTAGGAATATTTTAAATTTGAATATAAATCTGATTTTTCCAGTGATAATATATTCCAGCATGCCAAATTTTAGATAGTTTTCTAAGATATTATACATAATTTTGCTTGATTACGCATGCGCAGATAACGCACATACTTCCCATCAGAGATTTATGTAAATATCATTTTAAGCTGATAACCATACCATCCCCTACTCAGAACTCTTTCTCCTCAGTCCACTTTAAAAAAAAATGTATATATATAATATGTAAATGTGTAATCAATCATTTAATAGAGAAATAAGTTTTTTGGAAAAAATTAGTGTTGTTAAACAGCTCAATTTTTTAAAAAAAGGCCATCCACATATTTTATCCAAAAATATTAAGGCAAGCCTAGGAGACTTTACTTATAGATGGCTGTGGAGTTTAAGATAAAAATGGTTTTTATAAAAATGAAATATAATTTTATTTTTACAAAATGAAAAGATCAAAAGATAATTTCACTCTAACTCTAACAATAATATGTTTATATATTTATATTCATCGAAAGTACATTTACGATAATCAATCAATTACCATAAATTGTATACTTTAAACAAAATACAATTTATATAAATTTAAATACATTACCCTGAATTCATAGTGGCGCGATTGCGATTTAGACGCGATAAATACAAAATACAGTAAATAAATAACATATCGCATTTATAGTTAAACGATCGCGTTGAGTCGCAAAAGTTAGTGGCCGCGATTTTTTAAAAAACACAAATCATTTTGTATTTGTCGTTACAATGGCATAAAAAGTTTGGACATCGATGGACGAATCTTTTAGGTTTGCATAATATTTTTTGCCAATTGAATTAGTTGTTTTTAGACATGTGCGCCGACGAAACTATCGGCGGCCGGCGCGATTTTCAAAAATTTTATCAAAGGCCGGCGGCGCGCCGATAGCCGCTGTCAACAAAAGCGGCGTAAATCGGCGCAGTTATAAATTTTTATATAATTTTTTTTAAAAAATAAAATATACACTACACTACACATATCTTGGCATATTTTTTTAATCTTTATTTATGAGAAAACTCATTATACATTTAAAAAAGATTTTGCAATTTTATAATTGTCATGTATAAAAATTATTTTATTTAAATTTTCCGGGCATAATGATGATCTCCTCGAATTCAACGTCAATCTAGCGGTAGAGAAAACTCTTTCACTGGATGTACTAGTCGCCGGAATACATAGAATTTTTTTCGCCAGCCTGGAAAGATTGGGAAGTTCACTCTTCTTTTCTCTCCAAAAATTTAAAACATCCATTTCTTGTGAATGTCGTTTTCCAAGTAGAATGTGGCATTCTTGTTCTAAGTCACCTAATGTGGAATCATAATTGTTAATTGTGTAATGTTTATTTGCCAGTTTTGTCAAATAACTTGAATCCTCAGTCGCTATATTTACTACCTTAATATCATCATTCTTTATAAGTTTAAGATGTTTTATTATAAATTCTGAAGTTGTGCAATTTTGCTCTTCTATATACTTTGACACAATTGTCAATTTTTGAAATCTTGGATCTAAAAGAGAAGCCAATACCTAGATAATAATACTAAAATTATTTATAGAATTATTAAATGTTGATGCATCCATTTTAAAAATATGTAAAATTATGGTAACTTTGAATGATTGAATTTTATAATGACATCAATATAATTATAATTTTAAAATTGTAGAAGGATATGGTGGAGCTATATAACATTCATAAAATAAATACAGAAAATTTAATGAGTGCGTGAAATATAATTTAAATATATTTATTTAATAACTATTTTAATTTATTAATTCCTATTATATAATAAAAACATGTAGAAAATAAAAATTCATTAAAATCCTGATTGGCATTAATAAAATTACAACAGTGATGTTGACCAATTATTAGAATAAAAAGATATAAAATATGAAAAAAAATTCTGCGCCGGCCGTACGCCGCGATATGAAAATCGGCGGCGCGCCGGCGCAATTTTCATAAACGGCGGCGTTTTCGGCATACCCAAAAAAGCCGGCGGCCGGCCAACGGCCGGCTGGCGCACAGGTCTAGTTGTTTTTAAAGAATCGAGCTCGTTTAACAACACTAATAAAAAATTAATAATTTTTTTAAAATAATTAATGATATATATAATCCAAATAAAGGGTTTAAAATAAGTGAACCCTAACGCCTTCCAATAAAATTTATGGAGAAAAATTCGACATTATATCTACCCCCCCCCACCCCCCCTCCATCCAAAGCAAAATCCTGGCTACGCCTATATACTTTGAGTCTCACAAAGGGGTAGATTAAAATTTTTAAATATTAGGTCGGCGAGTTAATGGGTATTATTTTTAAAATAAGGGACGAATGGATATTACATATTTTATAAGTAAAATTATATTAAAATAAATGAAGAGCTAAAACGAACCAATCAAATAACCTTAAAATTTTTAAATAATTTGGCGGGTGAACCTGGTAAATTATTTTTTTATAAAAAGCCATGGGTGTTAAAAGGGGGTTAACTTTTTATTAAAACAATAGGCGGGCGGGTTGGGATGAAACCCGTCCATCTCAAACACCAAATATACGTCAAAGAAACTCTTACTCCAGTCATGGTCGAAGTTTAGTTAAGACAATGAATTCATTTTCCTTTAAGTATGTAAAATTGATTATAAGTTCATAATTGCAATCAGTTAGTAGTGTTTTATATTTAAATCGCCCTCCTATAAAATCGGATCTTTTAGCGGCGTTTTTTTATTCTCCTAAATTTTTGAGACCCTGCATCTTAGTTTTAAATAATCATCAACTCCTAAGATATACAGATATTTTTTTGTTCTTAGATATTTTTCATTTTTTACTTCTATATATCCTTTGAGTTACCTTGATTTCATTAGAGCGAAATTGCCAGGGAATACAAAAATACAGTGTAAATAGTCGCGAATCGTACTAAATATAAATGGGGTAGGGGAGTTATGATGATTATTTTTTAATATTTAAATTAATCCTTTTAATTAAAGATATCAAGGAAGAGATCATACCCATGAAACAGATCATAATTCAAAGAATCGACGATCTCGAAAAGTCGCAAAGACTGCTACCTTTAAAACGAGTCGGTTCCGACGGGGTAGCGAAAAAAAGGAGTTCATCCACCACATATTTGATGGAACAAAAAGCTAAAAAAGATGGCGTGATTTCTAACAAAAGACGATCGTCCATGAAAACAGATCCGCACGAAGATATCCTGTTGGTTCCGGCAAAATCCGAAAGAATTTTATCTCGCATTAAATTAGCCCATCAAATTGAGAGCAAAGATACCGGCTTTAAAGAAGACGTTAATTGGGATCATATCATGAAAGAGATAACCGTTAACAAGCTAAAAAGATTGGTTATAAAATTTATAGTATATATTAGGGTGGAGGGGGGGGGGTGGCCGTGGGGCTCATGTAATGTTCAACCAGTGTCCGGTAAATAGTCTATTAATTATAAATTATTTTAGGTTATTATTTCTATTTATTTTATTATTACTCCCTTATTTATAGATATATTTTTTAAATAACCTCACTCTGCGGGTTACGGTAAGTGTGATTCGCTCAAACGATATGAATTTTTTTGCTATACACTATTTACAAAAGCGAGCCAATAATATGTATAGATTTATAAATACTGAGAGAATCTATAAAATCGCTTAGCGAATAATATCGTGTAGCTTGAGCAAATCGCGCTTACTATAAATAAGGCCTAAATTCCTAAACCATATGGCATGTGTTTTAGTGAAATCGTGCGGATGATAAAGTCTCTTTTATTTAAAAACCGAACTTAAAAATTGTAAAAAAAATTAGCATTATACTATTTGTAGGTAAATACTAGCCATCACCCAGCTTTCGTCCTTATCTAAATATATAATATCACAAACTAGCACGTATCCTGTCTTGATCCGAATGAAAAAATTATATTCTTCTATTTAAACCGAATATAAATAATCTTCCGCGTAGAGTTATTTACCGACACTGGTTAGATTCATGTACCACAGAGAGCCTAAAGGGATCGGAATTTTGGATTCGATCAGAATTTGGAAAAAAAAATGTTTCCTTTTTAAGTGAGGTCAGGAATTTTCTTGTTCATTTCACGCTCGGGTCCTTAATTTTATTTAGCAAATTATTTCTAAGGAAAATTGAAAATATGAGCTGTAAATGAATGTTGTTCCACTATATTATTTCCAAAACTGATTAATTGATATAATATAAATTAAAATGACCTCTAGCCCGATTTTTAAGCTTGAGCAGGATTTAAAATCACGTGATTTTTTTTATCGCTGCTAGTTAGTAAAATTTTATTTATATAGTTTTCGAAGGTTATTTTTTGAAATCTTTGATCAATTTTTTTCTAGGCAGTGAAATATCAAAAATATAATTAACAAAATTTCGTAACTTTTATGAAAAGAAGTGAAATAAAATGTTTTCATTTTAAGAATAAAATATCAAATTATAAGAAATCGGAAGTTATAGTAATCAAAATGGGAAGTATTTATAAAAATAATTTGACGGAAATTATAAATTTTTATTGGAAGATTCTATTTTGGGCATGTTTCCAAATTTTATAAAGTTACGAAAGTTTTGAGATTTTTTAAAGTATATTTAGGACATAGCATTAACAAATACATATCGTTGTTTGCCAAAGTAGAAGCAGGTTACTATCTAAAAACTTTCTTTTTTCTTCTCTTATTCTCATTCACTGTAATGAATTTCTCATCAATCCTTCATATTTTAGTTTGGATACCTCCAGAGGTACTATCATAGCCAAGCCCAGATTTTTTTTAAAAAATAATTTATCCCGGCCCAGGTTTTCATAAAATATATTATATTTATTTTCTATTTTTATAGCTAATGACGATTTAAAATATACCTTCCCAGCTCGACCTGGGTATTAAAAAATTATTTTTTTAGAACTCAGGTATTTTCAAATAAATTTTTTTAGGCACATCCCAGGAATATTTAAAAAAAGTTAAAATAAGGCCCCAGCCCCTGTATCTAGGCCTGCAGGTCTCTGATATATATTCTATTCTCCTTATTAGAGCATATCTACCCTATTTTTTCCCCACTTTGGTGTATGTATTCACAGCAAGTATTGTACCAATTAAAACCAACTTAAAAGTATTTTTTCTTATTTAAATTGGTTTTTACCTTACCCTGACATACATTTCACATAATAAAACTTTTGATTATGGATTTTTATAATTAAAATCCTATTTTTATCGTAAATTATTTATGCATAAGTAATAAAATTTTTATTTGAGCATATATTGATAATTTATAAGACAAAATTTTTTTTTCACTGGTAGATATTCTAGATTCAAAAATATAAATTACCTGGTCAGGCTTATAAAAATAATTATTATCTCTTAATAGAACATAAATTTAATTCAATAAAAATATATTAAATTTATTAATAAATCTTCTATGGTAGAATAAATATAATTAATTAATCAACAGTATTCAGATTTTTTTTAGTTCTAACTACTTTATTTATAAATAGCATAATTTTAGGTTTATAAATCTCCATTTTTTTAAAAATGCTATAATAGAAGAAAGTTAAAAAACAATCAACAGATCCAAAGATGGGAGATCTGGGCCGATTTCAATATTTTCTAACAATAGTTTAATCATAAATTTCACAGGAAATAGATGTTATGTATTAAAAATCAACTCAAGGAAATTTTTTAATTGGATGAAATATGTTTAAAGTTAAGTAGGATTGAAGGTTAGAGAGATGGGTTTCAAAGATACAGTTAAGGTAAGATTATGATATATTAAAAATGGTTTTTAATTTCAATATATAACTTGTCAAATTGGACATGTCATGTGATTAAAAATAATTTTCTTGAGTTGCATAAGTGTTAAAATTGTTTGATTAATAACTATTTTTCTGTAATTATTTTCTGACATATATTTCAAAATTATTGTTTTCTATTAAAAAATCTGAGTTTATAAAAAAAGAATGATTTTTAACTACTCTATTTGACAGCTATATTATTAAGTGAATCACTGATAACTAAGCTCAAGCTAATGACTGATATTACCATTCTTTAATGATTAAAATTATGATTCAAAATTATAATTATACTGACTTCATATGTGTACTAAGCATTCTTCCTGCATAATATTATATAATCTTGCCCTTTCTTTAATTTTTATATGAACCTAAAACTTTCTGGAAAGAGGCCCATTTTTTTTAAAAAAAATGTTGGGTTAAGAAGCAGTTCTATATCAGTTTATTAAATTTGGCAGTAAAAAAATATATAATGAATTAATTTTGCTAAGAATGTAAACAATTTGATTTGTAATATATATTTTATGAAATATTTCAGAGCATAAAACAAGATGTAACAAACAACACCAGTTCAAATTGATATTACTTTATAATATTTTTTAAAATGATTGAATATATAATTATGTACAATGTATTTATTATGTGACTCTTTTTCAATAAATTATTCCTGCTTATTTAAGTTTCTTTCTCTTTCAATATATTTAGGAAAATCCTATATTAAATATAAATTAATAAATGTATACAATTACTACCTCTAAAGGTTTATAATAATTAAATACAATAGTGCTTCCTAAATAAGTAGCAGCCAGCGATAAGGAATAAAATGAAATAGTTTTCATGAAACCAATATTGTACATATTAATTTCTTCACAACGCTATTAAAATGCGAGAATAATTTATTTAAAAAAAAAAATTTTGACTTTGGCCGTACGCTAACAGAAGCAGCTGATGGCCTGATTATTAAAACTTTATCCTTTATTTAATTTATTGATTCCGTTTTTTTCTATTTATATGTAAAATATATGAAAATAATAAAAATCGATATTCTATTTAGGGAGAATTATAATTATATGAATATCATTGTGAATAAAGATTAATGAAAATGTTTACTTTTGATTAATCTTTAAATTTCAATTAAAATTAATTATTGCAACAGCATTTTGTGGAAAGCAAATAGAGATACAAAGAGAGGGGATGAAACATAAATGCCAAAAATGATACGAAAGTGCCCTTAAAAAGGTAATATAGGAGTATTTGCATATTTTGGTGTTTAGTTGTTGTTAGTTTCTCGCATTCATTAGTCAATAATAAAATAAACAATATAAGTTGTAAATGGACGAGAGGTCTTAATAAACTATCTTAAGGCATTGACTTGATCCCCTTAAAGATAAGAATTCAATCGATACGCTTTATTTTTATAATCTTTAATTGTTTTTTATATGACCTTTGTATTATATATGTTTTTTAATTATGAACTTAATAATCTACTGATATAATAGTAATAATTTATTGTTAGACTGTATTATTTATATAATAATTTTATTTATTATAATAATTTTATTTAATATAATCAAATGTGCCTTATGTAATTTCAGCTCTAGAATATATGAAAGATTTACGATAAAATTTAATTTTATTTTAAATAAACACCTACTATAATTGTTTTATATTTAAAATATCACGTCAATCATTTTGATACTTCTTAATTCGATATTTTATTTCTGAAAGCTTTTCAACTTGTGATCACACCTTTAAATCTTTGAAAAAAGTAATATTTTAAACCATGCAATATATCTTATTAGTTTTTAGATGTCAATGAATATGGAATTAGTAGATGAAGAAAAAGATGCAAATATTATACCTCAAGACAATGAAATATCTACCACATCAACCAATAAAATTGGTTTAACAGATACAGATATTACAAGTAGTAGTACTGTGAATAGTAAAAAAAGATTTGAAGTTAAAAAATGGAATGCAGTAGCTTTATGGGCATGGGATATTGTTGTTGATAATTGTGCTATATGTCGCAACCATATAATGGATTTGTGCATTGAATGCCAAGCTAATCAAGCTTCAGCAACAAGTGAAGAATGTACAGTTGCATGGGGTGTTTGTAATCATGCATTTCATTTTCATTGCATATCACGATGGCTAAGGACTCGCCAGGTTTGTCCCCTAGATAACAGAGAATGGGAATTTCAAAAATATGGTCATTAATTTTTCTCTATGTATATATTTTTAATGTTATATATATATATTCTTTCATTAAAAATTATATTATTTTTATAAAGTTTCTTTTTAATGTAATATTTATTGGTTAAATGAAGAGTTTATGCATCTGTCGCAAAAGTCTTAAATTAGATCTGTATTCATATAAAAATAAATGAAACATCTATTAAAACTTCTCTTAATTTACAAGATAAAAATATGATAATAGACTTCTGAAAGAAAAGACTAATACAGGGGTTGAGTATAAATTTTTAGGCAGGCCAGTCAATAAGTATTAATTAGTTACATTAAAGATTCTTTAATAAATGGTACCTTAATATCTAGCTATATGGCATGAATTATATAAAAAATTTGTATTAAAGAAGCAAAAGTTGTTTATTATTATTTAATCATTATTGACTAAATTCTAATATTGCATTTTTTAAAAATTTCAGGTAAATATTCATAAGACATCTAAATTTATTTTGCAAAAATAAAAATTTATATATTTTAAGGGAAATGGTACCTATAGTTGAGATGCTAAAAAATAAACGGTATTGCATATATGAAACATTCATGCTTAATGGAAAGATAGAAATGTTAATATGTAATTGATCATTATACATTAAGCATAAAATATGATAAATTTAGATTTAAAAAAAATTATAACCACATTGAAATTTGAATCCACCCAGAATCCTTTTTTTTAAACTCAAATCTGATAAATATGAAAGCTGGTTCAAGCTTCTTTTTTTTAAAAATTTACTTTTGAAAAATAGCAATTTACAGGTATATTTAAAAAGTAACTAGTCATTTTATATAAAATAGAATAATTTTGCAAATTAAAATATTTAATCAATAAAAATGCAATTTAAATTAATAAATAATTGCACCAAAAAATGTGGTTTTGTGATTTATTTGACTTTAACAAACTATTTTAAAAATGGTTTTCTAAAAGGTGTTAGTTTTTCTCTATAAATAAGCTTCTCTGGCTTAAAAAAATGTAATATAGGATGCTTGAAGTAACTGAGATATTATATATAAATAGTAAGTAATTTTAAATTAGGGGAATGATATAAAGATAATGAATGGGATATATATAATTGACATAGAGAAAACAACTAAAAATTTAATTAGTTATTATTTGTTATATATTTTAAAAAGTATTGAGTTTAGTTATTTTTTGTAAAAATGTAATTGGTTACCAGCAACTACTACACTTAGTTATATACCTATTAGTGATCAGCATGATCTGGGACGAACCTGTAGGTGTAGATTTTAAAAATATTAATTGGACTCGACCTGTATTATTTTTAGTTTGACTCAAATATTTTGCGGTCAATTGCATGGCATTGACCATATATTTTTATGGAGGAATAATAAAAAATTTACATTATTCATAATTTAAAAAAAATCCTAGCTTGGGCCATGCTTATTCTTATTTTCCATCAATTTTTTTTTAAAAAAACATACATTTCAATTGTTCAGTCAACCAATCACCCTTATGTAGGGATTCAAACCTAACCTGGAGAAGGAAACAAGTTTTTGAAAGTAAAATCTGAACCCCGTTTATAAAATTTTCAAAACCCCGAATCGAACTTGGGAATTTTATTTGAACCCGGGTCAACCGCATTCAGTGTAATTTAAAATCACATATTAATATATTTGTATAATTGAAATACATTAATTATTTAATTGAGATCTTATAATATTTTCAAATTTCCAATAAAGTGAAGTATTAATAAATTTCAAACAACTTAATTTATTTGCGCCAAATTTTTTAAATTTATTCTCAAAGATTTCTATTGGAGGGTTAATAAATTTTAAGCAATTTAATTCATTTACGTTATTTTTAATTTTTAACTCATTCTCAAAGATTATTAATTAGAGGAAAATGAAAGTGAACAAGTCAATAAAAATTATTATATTAAATATTGTTAATTTAAAATATTAACAAAATCTTACTTAAAAATTGTTAAACAAAGATCTAGGATTTTGTAAACTTTTGTATTTTTAACTATATTTTGCCTATAAATAAATTAAAAAATTAATTTTTTATAAATTCATGTCTAGTTTTTAAATTATGAATTAAATTAGAATTTTTTTTTATCAATTTTTAAACCCGAAACCAAACTCGGGTTCAAAAATATCTCCATGAACCCAACCCACTTATTTAATTTTACCTTAACCCGAACCCGGGCAAAAACATTGCCGGGTTCGTATCCCTGCCCTTATATACCTAATATATAGTATAATTATATTATATGCAAACAGTATTACCATTTGGAGTATTCCTCATTATAATTAGCATAACTGTAATAGCAGGAATTTTGACAACACTGCACACTGATGAACAAGAATATTATTGGAGAAGCTTAGTATGATTATAAAATAATAAATTATTATGAAAAGAGGAAAAAGTCTGAATTTATCACAGCTAATATATGGGTAATGGATAAAATTAACTAATCTGACTCGATCTACTACAGACACATGTTATAAGAAATCGGTGAAGTGCGGAGGCAACGGATTATATTTTTTTAACTTTCTACAAGGTTGAGCAATCTTTTCACAAACCCCGGAAACTGAAATGATAGTTCTCATGACGATATTATTATATACTATCCTACCAAATCAAAATTACACCCAAAAAAATGGGAAATCATAAAAATTGGCAAAAATAAGGAAGCCTCCCTACCCTACCCTTAGCAAAAATGCTTGAGCCGACAGTATTTCTAGAGAGGCCATTTATTAATTTATGGATAAAAATAATTATGGCTAAATTCCTAAGAATTTAATCCTTCATGATTTAACAGCTGATTGACTTTTAAAATCTGTGAGATCGAATTTTCTTTATATTATAATTATAGTCAATAGTTATTAGATTAATTATCATGGATAGAAATTAAAAATAAAATTTATATTAATAAAGAAAAATTAATTTCATAAAAGATTTAATCAGATCGAATCTCACTGAATCCAGCTTTAGCAAAAATTTAAGAGTATTTTTTTTTGATCTTTGCTATATTTATTCCCGCGTGCAGATAGTGAAAGGGGAAACTTTCTGATTTCCGCATATGTATGGAGGAATCAGGAATGAGTACCAATTCATATTTTATCCCTTTTAATGGACCATTTTATAATATAAAATGTTATTCAAAAAAATGGGAGAAGACGAGAGATTCATTACGGTTCAATAAAAAATTATATTTTAAATATTGCTATAAAATAGCCCATCCTCGTAAATATGTTATATAAATATTTAATAATGAATAATTCAAAAAAAAATCGTTAAATAATATATAAAAATGGAGGCTGATTAATTACATTTAGAACGTATGTATATATAGTTTATTATATAAAAGTTTTATCATAAGGTTATTCTTATTAGCTTATTAAAATAAAAAAAATCTTTTTAAATTATTTGGCCATCCCCATATTTGGCGATTCTCTATTTGTATATTATTTAAACAATTTTAAGTACCAACCAAATGAACCCATGGTGCTCGTTAAATAAAATGGAATCATCAAAAACATAATAACCGGATAGGATAGATCGCCATATTTTTTCCTTCCCGATAAAGGCATTCTTATGTTATTTTCGCTCGAAATCCTTCTCTTAATACCTCCTGTCCTGAAAACCTTCCGCCACCATCTTAGGCGGGACTAAGGGAACGCATTAATTATTTATAGCTAAATTTAAATCGATTCCTATTCAGCAGAAAAGATGATCATAAAAAATTTTAAGTAAATTATTTTATTTTACACTTTATCAGATTCAGAACGATATATTTTATATTTAAAAAAATTAATTAACATTTTTTAAAGTTAAATATTATTTTACGCGAAATGTCGCGTGTTTAAAAAGTAGGATGGGAAAAATTGATTTAAAGATACCCCTTAATTTTCCACAGAATCAACTTGAAATATAGTAAAATTTAACGATTATATATATCAGTGGCGTATCCAGGATTTTCTTATAGGGGGGAAAATTTTTTTAGGGGCTTCGCCCCCAAACCCCTTTTAACTGGCATTCGGCCAGCTTTCCCCCGGCCTTCGGTCGGGTCTTATTTAGCTATTCTATTAAATTATGAATAATTTAATAATTATTATATTTCTATTTTTAACTATTATTTACTAATTCGTGCTTATGGATAGGATATTACAAGCCTCTTTTTTATTATTTCAAGTTAGGTATATTATATTTAATAAAGTTTTTTTAAATGTAAAGGTTTATTTATATGTAAAGTTGAAATAAAGTGTAATGTCATTTTTTTTATAAAATTTGCTTTAAAAACTAGCCTCAGCTTAAATTCTCATACTATATAGGTAGAATATAATTTTTTTTATTGAAAATACTAATAGTAGTTTAAAATATTGACTAGAAAATAATTAAATTAACAAGTTTTTTTTAACTTCTTATCAAATACAAGATTTTTAATTATTTCGTTTGTCTTTGGAACCAAATCTCTGTGTATATTTAACATTAACAGAGCTAACCCATTTAGCCGAGATTCAGTACTTCCTAAATATGTTTTCAACCTTCTCAAGTTGGAAAAAGTCCTTTCATTCGTACATGTTGTAATAGGCAAACATGCAAGAATATAAAACAACTTCGAAATATTAGGAAATTGAGCCAAGGTTTCTTTACACCGATTGAGCGCATCAATAGCATGCTCAGATAAAATAGCTAAACGTATAAATATTTATACCACAATTCGAATTCACTGATTAAATTTATTTCAGTATCAATCTCATAGGAATAAAATTTTTCTAAATATTTAATTTTACCAATAGTGGCATTAGAAAATCAAGAAGGATCTTTGGGTAATAAAACTTGAAGATTGCTAAAGACTTGTTTTTTATCTAAAACCCGTACTTTTATTTGCTATAAAAAAGTATCTAAGAATGGGATGAAAATGGATATTTTAGAATATTCTTCAGTTGAGCCAATATTTATTTTCATCTCAAAAATGGCCTAGGTGCTAGACGAGGTTTAATTAGTATTA